TAGCCAAAAAGATTGATGAAGAAATACTGCAAGAGGTAATTAAGATGGGATTTGAAAGAAACCGTCTAATTGAGTAAATGAGGGCACGGTTGCCTACTATTTGCTACTTGACAACCGCTTTCTTGTTTCTAGTGGTTATTTGGGTGCTGAATTTCAAGAAGCAATATTATTATTCTAATATTTCAACAAGTGTAACTAACATTCTGCCAATGAACCAATTCAACCAAAAGCTCAAACGTATAGTTGTGGGCCCTTTATAACTCTAAGGCATTCCGGAACTGTTTTATCAGGCAGTGGTAAGGGAAGTAGTAACAGCGCTAAAGTTGCAGTAGTTGTTCCAGTCAACCTCGTACCGGGGAAAAATAACATTGATCTTTTGAGCTTGACGGTCGGACTTCAGGTTAGATATATCTGGCAAGAAAATGTAATTTTCATTAGACGTTTTCAAGAAAATGTTATTTTCATTTTCGCTCTTCTATGATTGGATCCAGAATTATGGAGGACACTTTGATTTATCGGGGGCTGGGATTACTGGTCCGGTGCAGCTGAAAGATAAGAAAAGTGGACTGAGTATTGATCTTTCCTCGCAGAGGTGGACATATCAGGTTAACTCTTTGTTTCAGAATTATGAGTTCCAAATCTCAACAATGCATTCATCTTCTTTTCTTTGAGCTCTAAATAAATGTTCAGGTTGGTCTAAAAGGCGAAGAGTTGGGATTTTTCAACGGAGATAAATTTTCACCGCGCACGTCACAGTCTACTTTGCCCAAAAACCAACCTTTAATATGGTACAAGGTAATCTTGCATTCTTGTATCTATATTAAACTTTCCATTTCCACACCTCCAAGATTTGGGGGGGGGGGGGGTTCTCTTACAATCGACTTTACAAAGGGCAAAAACGGGAATTGCGTATCTTATTTTGTTTCAGGCAACCTTTGACGCACCCGGCGGGGACACTCCGCTAGCTATAGATTTCAGAGGGATGGGGAAGGGAGAGGCATGGGTGAATGGACAAAGCATTGGCCGGTATTGGCCAAAGTATGCTGCTCCAAGTACTGGCTGCACCGACACTTGTGACTACAGAGGAGCGTATAGCGCCACCAAATGCCTCAAGAACTGCGGACAACCTTCTCAGATTTAGTAAGTATATTCTACCGGGAAATGCTTGGTTCACAAACACAATCTTCACAAACTTCACAAATTTACTATTTGTGAACTTTAATAAAGAAATTAAATAATCTAAGGTAGTGTTTGACAACTAGCATTTCATTTCAATTCTTGCATTTCAATTCCAAAATTTGAAATCTTGAATTTCAAATGACAAAGGGAGGTGCATGAATTTCCAATTAAGCTTTGTTATGAATGAGAAGAATTTGACTCAAATGCAAAATCAAAATTTTTAAGTTTCCCAAACATGGAATTTGATCCAAATCCGGATTTGAAATCCAAATCCATGTTCCCAAACATACCATAAAATAATTTTAAAATAAGAGTTTAAACTATAAATAGTAAGTTTGTGATTATTCTGTTTCTGAACCTAGCATTGCTCTATTCTACCATTTTCAATTTACATAATCTCCCGAGAAGCAGGAGTATATATATATGAATTCAATCTTTTAGTGTGGTTTGACCTGACCTTGTGGCCCACTTGTGCAGTTACCATGTTCCGCGCTCGTGGCTGAGACCAAAGGGAAACGTGGTGGTGTTGTTTGAGGAAGCGGGGGGAGACCCGACAAAGATATCGTTTGTGACTAGAGAGGTCGGTGGGGTTGCCGAGGAGAGTTTAGCTGTTGAAGATTCATGCTCCTAAGTGAATAATGCACATTTGGCATGTTTGGTTTGAATATGTGATGTGGTTTTTGAGTTTTTCCTAGGTGCCAAACTCTGTATTGTGTGAAAACTAAAAGGGAGAAACATCTGCTTGTTGTTTCCCATTTATGAAATGCTAATGGAATTTTCTTTAAATTCAAATAAATCTTTTTTTTGTCTAAAGTCCAGTATTTTCGGATTGGGTTTCGACGTTGAGCATAGACTTTGGGTCGGGTCTTACTTGGGCCTAATTAAAAAGTTTCGGATCAAGTGATCATGTGTGTATACATTTTTGATGTCCGACCCGAATTTGTCAGAAGTGAATCTTCGAACAAATACTCATGGAGAGAGAACGTTTGATTGGGATTACTTATTTTCCTAGTACAATATTCATTTGAACCAAACACTAACAAAACAATTTTTTAAAAATAAAAAATTGAATCAAACACTATTAAAAAAATTTGAACCCAATCGTTGTTTTCATTTTTCTCTTTTTATTTTTTTGTGCACCAAACGGGCAAATGGTTTTTGTTTTTTTTTTGCACCAAGAGATAGAGTTTTTGCCTTTTCTACCAAGGGTGAGATAGCTTGAGCCTTGAGAGGCAATTTTTTATTCTGGTTAAATGTATTTACGGGTAGTGTTTAACATTTTCAAAATAATCTGCACTGTTGAAATTTTATCTAAAACGCTAACGTTAATTTATAATGTTATTTCCAAAGAGACCCTAAGTTTTCTTTCTATTTTAACCAAATGTTTTCCTTTGTAATGTAATGGCAAAAAAAAGTATGTACATAAATATCTATAGAAAAAAACATGTGGCCCACGAATAAGAAAAGATAAAGAGAAAAGGTAGAGAAATAATTAGAGTGGGGTTAGAAAAATAACAAAATATATCTTCCGTACATATGCAGTATATATTAATTTTTTTTCAAACAAAAAGAATTTTAAATTTTAAGAACATTATAAAAACAACTTTAAAAGTAAATTTGGAAAAACTTTGATTAATAAAAAGATGCAACAAATGGGAAAACACAAAAAGTAAATGAAAAATAAGAAATGAGAACTAATGTCTCTTATGATTTGGAAAATACGTACCAATGCCCCAGACTTCGTTGGAAAAATAGCTAGAAAATGATTAGATATGGTATGGGTGCAACATTTTGAAAGCACATGAACTTTAGAAATATGTTTTGAAAATAATTGGGTAACAGTGTCTGTTTTTTAAAACACAGGAGATGCTGGTGCTATTTGGCCAAAGATAAGGTATATCAACCATGATATAGAACAACAAGAAGTATACCCCAAATATATACCGATATTTTAATGATTTACATTGACAAAAAATACTAATTCACTCAAAAAAATTATATTAACATTTTGAGTCATTATAAATTATTAATTCACTCAAAAAATTTTTACATTACACTAACATCAAACTAACTCAAAATATTAGTGTATGTCTTCCGGTTACAAAGGAGTAATTCAAAATTTAGCCATTTGACCATTACCGTCCTTAAAATTAGGGGTGGGCGCGGTCCGTGATAGTCCGTGATACTACCGGAACCTATCACGGACCGCTATTATTTAAACGGTTCGGTATCGGTGCGGGATGAACTCCAAAACCATTCGGTACCATTCCGTTTTAAAACGAAATGGTACAATACCATACCCATGCTCAAACCGTGCCAAAAAAATGAATGTACATTACTTAAAGAACATTGAATTTAATGTATAAATATGTATAAAAAAGTACAAGAATATTAAATAAAAGTATTGATCTCAAATTTAAACGAATCATAAACATAAAGGAATAAAAAATAACGAGTCCAAAGTTAAAAAATAATTTTTTTCCAATTCATATAATATCAGAATACTAATAACTATAAAAAAATAATGTCAATAGTAATGATAAATATAATAACAACAATAATAATGAGAGAGTTTAAAAATGAATAATATAATACGATGTACTCTATATACGGTAAGATGAAGTAGACACATACTCCATATTTATTTGAGATATGTACTCCGTATATAGCGTCGGCGGTTCGGTCCGTGATAATCGGTTTTAAATATTTGTATCACGGTCCCGTCCCATTTGGTATCGGTTCGGTTTCGGTTCGTGATGAAAAATATCAATCCCGTTTAAAAACACTATAAACGGTTCAGGATCAATACGGTCCGGTACAGTACCATGCTATTTCGGTTTTTTTGCCCACCCCTACTTAAAATTTAGTTTGAAGTTGCACAATTTACAAGTCCTCCATCTGGCACTTTTTTAACTGAAGTGGCGGCTGGCAAAACTTTCAGAATGACTGTAAAAGACACCAACCGTTTTCACTTTTTTTCATTTTCAACCCTTGTTCTTCTTCTGCATTCCTGCTAATGCTCTATTTATCCTCTTTCAATTTATTTTTTCACGAAAGGATAAATGTCATTTAACCTTGCCATGTGTTATGGTGGGGCTTGAGTGAGCATAAAGATGCATTCTGTAGATCAATGAAAATATTTGTGTTCTGGCGTGAAACAAAAAAAAATTAAAAAAAAAAAGAGTAAATTCCATAAAAGGTCCTCAGTTATAGGTCGTTTTACATATTTAGTCCCTACATATCAAATATTACTTATTTAATCCCCAATTATTATATTCATTTCTACGAATGGTCTTTTGTTAACATTTTCGTTAAGAACGTAGATAAAATTGTAAATTCACACTTTTTTCTCTCCTCAATTAAGATTCTTCCTTCCCCTCGCACTCCTTTCCCAAACCCGTCGCTGAGTTTGAAACTTTGAACCCAAAACCGAAATCATCATTCTTGTCTCAATTGTTTGTCTAACAGGTGGAACCCAAATTTGAAACCAGTAACCTTCATGGATAAGTTTTAATGTTTATTTTCTTTGCAATTTCTTGAGACTAACCGATAAAACTCATCCATAAAGCTTATTGGTTTTGATTTTAAATTCCACCAAGAAGACTAATAATTGAGAAAAGAATGATCATTTCAGTTTTGGATTTAGAGCTTCAAACTCAGCAACGAGTTTGGGAAAGAGTACGAAAGGAGGCCATGTTCTTAACAAAAATGTTAACAAAGAACCATTCGTGAAAAATGATATAACAATTGGAGACTAAATTAGTAATATTTAATATGTAGGGACTAAATATGTAAAATGGCCTATAACTGGAGACCTTTTATGGAATTTACTCAAAAAAAAAGTACCAAAAAAGCATAACATTGATACATAAGATAGGAATAACATTAAGGGGCTGTTTGGCAACAACCAAACACCCAAGAAAAACATAGCACACAATTGACTCCACAAGCTAAGAGTGGTATAGATCACATATAGGATCTACCGCTTTCACCCTTGCATTTATTCTCTCAAACAGACACTCAAACACAAACAGATGTAACAAAAAGACAGTACAGTTAAAAACAAACAAGATGAAAACAATGCCTCAAAACCAGTGAGCAAAGACGCCACTGTTTCTGAGGCTCTTCAAGAGGCTCACGCAATCCCCACACCGTGCCGGCTTCCACACGGTGGTGTCCGAGCAGCGGAGGAAGAGCTCGTCGACGTGGCATATCAGACCGGTCCTGAACAGCTCGTCGAGAATCTGCAGCTCCACCGGGCGAGCGTTCATCATGAGCACCACGAACGGCGGCTCTTCTTCCCCACTCACCGTCTCGTTGAACCAACGGACGAAATCAAACTCGTCCTCCTCGTCCTCGAGATCCTCGTCGGTGTAGTTGATGTCTTGCTCCATCTCCTCCTCCCCCGCGAGCCCCGGGTGGTACACGAACGTGATCCCCGGAGTCTTCACATACAACGAGAGGGCGTACGCGTTGTGGTCGATGACGTAAGCGTCTAGCGCTTGGCGGGGAAAAGGGTAGCTCGAATTCAACATCGTCGTAATCGCCGTGTCCACGAGCTCTCCCGCTCCCACGTTTATATAGACGAGCTTGTTCCTCGAGGAGACGTTCGTGTAGCGGGGCAAGTAAGAGATGTTCGTCTCGTCATCGTTGACGAGGGGCTCGAGGAATGGGATGAGGGGTTTGTTGTTTGCGACCGACGGGCAACGGTCGGGTAGCTTGAACCGCTCGAAGAGCGACATCGCGTCGCTTTCTTCGAGCCTCTTCTTGAAGAGGACGAGGGTGAAGGGGCCCACAGCACCCACGCGCGCCACGTCGGAGCTCTTCAAGAACGAGGAGACAGGCGTGGCGTGCGTGACTAGGTTTCCCGAGTAGAAACCGTGGGTGCCGAGAAGCACGGCCCCGGACCCGCCCGGGCGTAGGACCCGCTCGATCTCGAGCACGAGGAGGGCGGGGACCGACACCCTGCCGAGGTCTCCGGAGAACACGAAGTCGAAAGCCCCGTCGTCGTAATCGAGCTCGTACACGAACCTCCTCTTCGCGAGGGAGAAGAACGGGTGGCGGTCAACAGCCGAAACATCTGAGAATCCCAACTCTCTCAAGGCCAACACGGCTTCATCCGCACCCTCTCCAACACAGAGTGACTTCACATCAGAGTCCAAGAAGCTGGTTACCATCAGCTCCTCGAACACGTTCTTCGCCAAAGCCCGATTCTCTCTGCAAGGAATCGAAACCACCCCAAATGCATATGCGAGCTTGAAGAAGCTACGGCTCAAGCTGAAATTCAGACCGCATCCATTATTATCAGTACTCGGCATCCACGGATCAGAGAACTGGACATCATGCCCCAATTGGACGAGCGATACGATTACGACTCCAGCCCCAAACATCAACATTTTGAGAAGCAAACGCCTCATCAGCGAACCGCGAAGAACTTGCCATTTGAAGGCCTTCAAATCCATCTCTATATATGTCTCTTAATCAAAACTCAATCACAAATCTCCTTAATTGATTCCTGAAACCTCTGTTTTTTTCCAGATCTAGAAAGAGAGAGCTCGTTCCAAAGCAGAATTCTCGAGTAGAAACTCAGATTCGATGAAAAATTAGGGGAATTGAAGCCAAACGGGGAGGAGAAGGAGGATTTAGCGGGTGCAAAACCTGGAGGAGGTGTGATTTCCACCCACGAGTAATCCCACCGACATTTGAGAGCAAAGCCAGACCTTCTTCGGAGTTCTTCTCGCCATTGGATCGCACCAGTCCGTAATAACCATCTGGGAATTGACCTCAATCCATCACAGCTTCCTAGCTTACATGATTTGAGGGCAGCCGACACAGTCGAGATCTATAGACAGTGGGGATAAACCCTAAAAAGAGGAAATGCAATTGAGGAAGAAAGAAGAGTGTGGAAGCTGGAGAATACGCGGAAGAGAGAGTGCAATGGGAGGAGCAGATAAATGGATGGGAGAGAGAGAAAGAGAGTGAGAGAGGATTTGCCAGCAAAACAATACAAGCATTTCACGTGTGTGGGTCCCGCCATTGTGTTTGCTATTGGGACTTGACATGGTACCTAATCCTAATAAACTCTCATTGATTATGGTGTGAATTAGATATATTCTTATTAATCTCTAATTCTCTAAATAGAACAATGCTAGGGGTACACCAAAGATGTACCCCAAATGTACACCACCCCTTTTCCATCACTTTTTTTATTTTATTTTTATTTATTTATTTTTTTTGAATTTCTTGCCTTTTTTTTGTGGACAAGGAGGAGTGGGGGACAAATGGGGTACACATTTGGTGTACCCCTAGCATTTTTTCCTCTAAATAAACTTGAGTTTTTTTAATAACTAAACTTGAGTTTATTTGCAAATAAGTTCTATAATTGAGTATTTTTTTTATATTTAGGACTTGTTTTTTGAGTTGAAATTTCAGAGTTGCATGTTGAAAGAAACTAGAAAGATTTGAAAGAAACTAGAAAGAGTTAATTTTTTTTTAAAAAAAGTTGGAAAATATTGAAAAAAATAAACTGTTAAAAAGTCACCCAATTAAAAAATCACCAAATAAATATGTTAGAAAACTCTAATTTTGGATAAAAATAGAATCCATCCTTGTTGTGTTTGAAGTGATATACTCCCTCCGTCCCCCAGTTTTTGTCCACTTTTGACTTTTGGAACTGCTCATCTAAGCACTTTGACTCATCAAATTCTCTCAATGTGTAAGCCTAAATATAGTCATGTGTGATCTTGTTTGATTTGTCTTAACATATAGATTATTAATATATAATTTCTATAATTTTTTAATATACAAATTACAAGATAAAATGGATTAAAGAAGTGCATTGGATGGTGTGCAAAAATGAAAGTGGACAAAAACTGGGGAACGGAGGGAGTAGGATATAGATTTGATATGTAATGGTATTCTATATTAATCATATTTAAATACCCTTTTTAAGTCGTTGTTGAAAGAAACATGAATGGTTGGAAAGAACTGGAAGGAGTTGGAAGAAACTTGAAGACGTTGGAAGAAGTTTGAAGTTAATTTTTCTAACAGAAAAGAACGGGGTCTTAGTCTTTAAGACTATCAAACATTGGCCTTGGAGAATAACGGTTGGCAATTAGGTGTTTGGATTGAATGATTGATTGCATAAGTTATTTTGACTCGCACCTTGTATTAGTTGTTGGTGAATAATTATTTCGCAAAAGGTAATTACTCCTAAATAGTTGTTTGTGGCATAAATTGTATTTTTGGATCTATTTGTATTTAGGATTTTAAAACGAACAAACAATTTAGATTCGATTCGTGATTTGTTAGCATAAAAATATTTATTAGCATACGAAAGAAAAGACATACGAATACGTATGTATATGTATTTGATTTTATATGTTAATGAATATATGTGAATTTAAAAATAAAAATGTATACCTAATTTATCTGCTTCATAATTAACACATAGCATAAAATCTAGAGTACTTTGTAGTTGATAGGACGTCACGTAGAAAAAGAAGTTATTAATGTATTAGTGTATTTATATTCTTTTTGTATTTATATTCGGGCTCCTCGTTTGTATCACCAGAGGGTTCCTCGTATCTATCTCCCGTGTACATTTATATAGGTCTTTGTATCAATGAATCAAACAAGCATTTCAGTTCCAAAATTTGGTATCAGAGAGTTTTCTGTGATATTCCTCAAACTAGTTTTGTCCGTCCCTGTTTTCGATCGGCCGTCGGTGTCCCTGTCGTGCGTCCCCGTCCAAGACGCCGGGCCCAAATCGCCGATCGCCCGTCCCTGTTACGGTCGCGAGTCTCCGGCCAGTCGCGATCGTTCGCCTTAGTTGTGGTCGCGGGTCTCCAGACGTCGGCCCCGTTGCAGTCTCCGCGTCCATCGCGCCGATTGAGTTCTCCGATCGTCGCCAATCAGTAGCCCAACGCATCAAGTCCAAGTCGCCATCTCTGCGAAGGAGATCGCCGTCGTCCAGCCGTCAATTATCGCCAGATCCTTTGGTCAGTCGTCAAAGTTCGTCGAAAAGAATTGCACAGTCCACTTGCAATATTGTTTTGTGAAAGTATTCTTTAGTTGGATTTCAAATTGGCCACACAGCAGCAAATTCAAGGGAGTATATCCACTCGCAATTTTTTTTAGTTCAACATGTTAGGTTAATCTTTGGACCAATTGGATTTTGTCTGGCCAATTTGCTAGTGTGAGTAGTTGGTTACACTTTGAGGTATTTGTTTGGCCACTTCAAAGATATTGATGATGAATTCTATATCTTGTGATTGGTTGATTGATAGTGGTGCATCGCACCATATGACAGGAACCTTGTCTCATTTATTTCGTATTGAGGATATGACTCCTCAGTCTATTTGTCCCTGACGGTTCTCGTATCCAGGCGAGCAAAAAGGGAAGCGTGTGCTTATCTCCCACTCTCTCAGTTTGGTTCTCCATAATGTTTTATATGTCCCAAACTTGCACTGTCATTTGGTTTCTGTTGGTTGTTTGGTTCAAGAAACTACTTGTCATGTTATTTTTAATGATCAATGTTGTGTAATACAGGAGCGTTTGTCGAAGACGGAGATTGGACGAGGTGAATTGCGAAACGGAGTGTACGTCTTTGCCTCATACCCAGCGTCAGCCCTTGTTGTCAAGTCGGATCCATTCATTTTACACCAACGATTGGGTCACCCTTCCTCTGATGTTTTTCCCTTTCTTGGTTACAATAAAACAGGTTCTGTTATCAAGAAATTACAAACATGTGAAATTTGTTTTCTGTCTAAGCAAACTCAGTCATCCTTTCCCATGATTTTGCTCCCGTGGCCAAATTAGCCACTGTTCGTGTGTTATTGTCTGTTGCAGTGGCTAGGGGTTGGCAGGTATATCAGTTGGACGTCAATAATGCCTTCTTACATGAGGATCTTCGTGATGAGATCTATATGAAGATTCCTCCTGGATATGAGCAGCTATTTCCCGGGAAGGTTTGCCGTTTGCGCAAATCATTATACGGGCTCCGTCAGTCTCCCCGTAATTAGTTCACTAAGCTTCGTATAGCCTTACGCCGTTATGGTTTTCGTCAGGCTCATGCAGACCATACTCTTTTTGTGTTATGTCGTGGGCCGGATATGTTGGTGGTTTTGGTCTATGTGGATGACATTCTTGTTGCTGGTAATAATCCTTCTCTGTATTCGTCATTCAAGAAATATTTAGATGAATGTTTTCATCTCAAAGATCTTGGACCTGTTTCCTATTTTTTGGGCATCGAGTGTGCTCGATCTCGGGAAGGCATGGTCCTGAATTAGCGTAAGTATGCTCTTGGTATTATCCAGGAGGCAAATTTATTGGGTTGTAAGCCCAATGACACCCTGTTACCTAGTAATCACAATCTCGCACGGTCTACTAGTGCTGAGATACGTGATCCGATGAAGTATCGTCGTCTTGTGGGTCGTCTGTTATATTTGACTACTACTCGTCCAGATATATGTTATGCCGTGCATGTCTTGTCTCAGTTCATGCAGTCTCCACGTTTGGATCATTGATTCGCTGCCTTGTGTGTGCTTCGCTACCTCAAAGGCCATCCTGGACAGGGTATTTTGTTACGCAGTGACAGTAACCTTGCTCTGACTGCCTTTTCAGATTCAGATTGGGCAAGTTGTCCTCTGACGCGTCGTTCTGTTACCGGTTACTTTATCTTACTTGGAGGGTCACCTGTCTCTTGGAGAAGTAAGAAGCAAAATACAGTATCTCGATCTTCCGCTGAAACCGAGTACCGGGCTATGGCGAATGCCTGTAATGAGATTCGTTGGCTACGGGGTCTCCTCGTCGCTTTATATGTCCCATGTGTTGTCACTCCTAAATTATATTGCGATAATAAATCTGCTTTATTTATTGCAGCTAATCCCGTGTTTCATGAACGTTCGAAGCATATTGATATTGATTGTCATATTGTCAGAGAATGTATTCAGCGCAATCACATCGTCACAGCTTATGTTCCCACACGATTCCAAACAGCAGATATTTTCACTAAAGCTCTTCCTGGACCATTATTCCATTCTTTGTTATCCAAGTTGGGCATTTTTGACATTCATGCTCCAACTTGAGGGGGAGTATTAGTGTATTAGTGTATATATATTCTTTTTGTATTTGTATTCGGGCTCCTTGTTTGTATCACCAGAGGGCTCCTCGTTTCTATCTCATGTGTACATTTATATAGGTCTTTGTATCAATGAATCAAACAAGCATTTCAGTTCCAAAATTCTACAGAAGTACTTGAATAATTTTAAATAAATGTGTAAATATGAAGACTTCCGTACATTTTTCATAAGTTGATATGTAGACTTTTATATTTTAAATTAAGATCTATTATTGACTTCCAAAACTATTATTCATGCACGAAGAAGAAGAATCAATTGAAGTAATAATCTTGAAAACTTGAAGATCATCTTGAAGCACAATTTATATGAAGAATTGGTTAACTTATTAAAGTAATTTTGAGAACTTGAAAATGTTGGAGAACAATATATTTCTAAGTATTGGGTGTTACATACATACTTTGTTAGATGTGCATTTTTTAGAAAAATGGATTTAATACAGAGAAATTTACTTAAATAACACTAAAACATAATGACTTTCCCTAAATAGCACCACATGTGTTTTTCTTCTTAATGTAGCACTTTTAGTCATTATTCAAGTAAATATTCACCATCACGCGCGGGACATTATGGACATTATTAAGTGCTATTTAGAGAATAAAACAATTTAAGTGCTATTTAGAGAAATGACTTAAGTTTTAGTGCTATTTAGTGCAAATATTTCTTTATATACTACATATTTATTCTTGTCGCCCCGATATAGATATGGAATTGATTATTTAACCATTTTTTGCTTCTATACTTTCGAGTATAAGTAATGTTTGCATACATACACGATACACCCTTCTGAGACGATCATACTCTCGTGAGATCTAACTAAGTTATTATTATTATTGTGAAAATGTCATTTTTAGGACAAAATGTATGACTAATTTGTGGGTAAAATTGTTTGGAGATATAAAACATTTAAAAAAACTTATAATTCGAATTTTATTCTCCTTCTGTNTGATTTTTAAGGAAAGTTGAAAAAAGTGAAAGTTTACCAAAACAACATTAATAAAAATGAGTGGAGTATATTAAATTAAGTGGTTGATGTGTAATAAATAAAGTGGAGTAATAGAATACACTACTACAAAAAAATTGGGAGATCTATATGAGACGGAGAGTAATAGAATACACTACTACAAAAAAAGGCAAAGGCACCGGTTGTTTTGTACCTTTAGCATCGGTTTTGTACCGATGTAAATACAAGCAATGCAATTGGTCCAATTCAATTGCATTGCTTTGGAAACAACCGATGCCTTTGCTATTTTATTAATTTAAAAAAAGAGTATTAGCATCGGTTGGTGGGGTGACACCAGGAGATGGCAGCAACAATGTAGATGGTGACCGCAGTCCGCATTTAATAGCAACGGCACCAGGAGATTGTGGTGATGGAGTGGCAGTGACAATAGTAGCGGCGATGGCGGGTGGGGTGACGACAGTGACATGTGCGGTAGGGCTGTAGCTAATTTAGGATTTTTTTTAATTAATAAAATGTATTTAGTTTCATATTTGTCATATGAATATAACTTCTATTTTGGTACATGGTCAATATTTTACTTGAATTTCGCTCCTTAATTTTAAGCTATTAGATTGATTAAAAGTTAATTACTCCTATTTAAGGGAGTTTGTGTTTCAACTCTTATTTTGAGGATATGTCATATGTTTTACTACTACTTTGGTCCTTCTCCCATATAAGTTCTATTTTGGTATATGGTCAATGTTTTACTTATATTTCGCTCCTTAATTTTAAGCCATTAGATTGATTAAAAGTTACGGAGTAAGTACTCCTATTTAGGGGAATTTATGTTTCAACTCTTATTTTGAGGATATGTCATATGTTTTACTACTCCGTACTGTTTTAGTCCTTCTCCCTAATTTATTTGGTGTAATTATTTTTTTTTATGAAATTATTACAAGTAGTTCTAAAGCAAAAGAACATCCTCCTTCGCACGACACGTGTAGAGATTCTAAAGCATCATTTGATTTCCATTATCCTTGGTGATAATACTTTGTTTGAGAGCTACTTTGACAATAACTTTTTCTTGAAATGATTGAATATGCTTATTATACGGAGTAATTAACTTCATAATTCTGCATTAGGGCCGGGCATGGGGATATATACCAGGGGTTAAGATAAGAAAGGTAATAATCATCATTTTTTATTTAAAGAATTGTATGTAGTTGTCCCAATTGAATCAAAGTCATAATACGAATACGACATTAAAACTCAATATCAAAAGATACTTGTCGTGAATTAATATTCTCGTAGAAAAACTTCTTAATATTTGTACCAAATAATATATTTACCATAGTTCTAATTATATTTTTTTGGCTAATTCTCTCACTACTCCCTAGAAAAACATAATACATGGTCTGACCTCATATTTTTATAAAAATTGTTGATGAGTGATTTTTTTTAAATAAAATTTGTTCAAGAGAGCGAGAAATGATGCATCACATTTTCATTACTTTAAAGTAAAATTAGAGAAGTGCAAAGTTTGTACTCCTTAGATGGACAGAAAAAACACAAAGTAAATGTTACCCATTCGTCCCTAAATGTTTATCTCATTTCAAAAAACGAGACAAATAATCAAGTTTTTTCAATTGATTTTGTTTAAATATTGATATAAAATATAAAATAAATTTTACATATTTAAAAATCACATGAATTTTTTTTTGAAATAAGAGATGTCAAAAATATTTTACTTTATCAAATAATCAATAAAAACATACAAATAAACAAAAGTTCTTGTGATTCTTAAAAAACAAATGTATTAAAAAAGCAAATATAGCAAATATTTTTGGACGGAGAGAGTATAATATAACATTATTGGTAAAAAAAATGGCAATAAAAGTAAAATGACTCTAAATGAGAACTTAATAAAGAAAACACCGGCTTTTACTCCCTCCGTCCGGAAATATTCTTCCCCTTTTCTTTTTTGGTCCGTCTGGAAATAATCTTCCCATTTCCTTTTTTAGTATGCTTTTTAAGGCTAAATATCAATAATACCCTTCTATTTTATCACAAATCTACTTTTTTAATACTTTTTTAATAATAAAAGGAGATTTAAAAGTTTATAGTATGTGCATTTTTGAAAATTTTACATTTTTTTTACTATTCCTTAATAAGCGTGCCAAGTCAACACGGGAAGAACATTTCTGGACGGAGGGAGTAAAAGATTAATTATTGTGACAAATTTGTTTGGGAGCAGAATAAGTAAATGAGGGGTCCAGAAGCAGTAACTTGATGTTGAAATCAATCAATTTGTGAAAATGAGAGTGCAACTTCCTTTTCGGCACATTGATTACTTGACTATTTAATACTGGCTCCCTAAATCATTTATCCTTTAAACAAAACTAAGTTAAATTACAAGTTTTTTCAATTTATTTTATTTAAAGATTAGTACTCTCTTTATCCTTAAATGATTTGAACGTTTTACTATTCAAAAATATTAGAAACTTTGATTTATTTGTATATTTTTATTGACTATTTAAAGAAATAAAATATTCGTATCAGCTCTTGTTTTGTAGAATTTTCAATGTGCTTTTAAAATATGTAAGTTTTATTTTTTATTTGTATACCAATATTTAAATAAAATGAATGGAAAAACGTAAGATTTTACTTTGTTTTGCGTAAAATGTAAATCATTTAGGGACGGAGGGAGTATGAAAATAAAAA